TAGCACTCTACCACTTGAACCACAGTATCATTTCTGGCTTTTTCTGTTTATGTGGTACTGAGGAATCGAACCTAGAGCTTCATGCATGCTAGGCAAGCACTGTACCACTGAGCCACATTCCTAGCCCCTCAAATTGAATTTGTTAGATTTTCCTGCTGTTTTCTGAGGTAAGTAATTTTTAGCTGAATTTTAAAATAATGCGTTTATTGTGGAAAGAAGCAAACAATTTCAGATTCAAGCATGAAATAGTCAAGATTAAATAATCAATTCATAGCTATTAAAGAGAACTTTCAAGTTGTAAATTATTTGCTTCAGTTGTCCTTTTTTGCCTTGAAGCTAATATGTGACAGTAGACCACCATTAGGATCAGGCCTAGAGCTGTGTAAACTACAATAATGAAGGCATATCATTTGCTCTTTATAGGTAGGACAGGGCTTTCCTTAGGCAGCATCTAAAGCATGAACAAATGTAATGTTCTGTGTAACTTGTGAATTCTTATTCTGTAATCTATAATTTTGTAAAGTCTAAGTAAGTGTGAATCTGAGATCAAGCTGCACTAATCCATCTTCTTTCTGGATTAAAGATAATTGCTGTACTTTTTGGAGAAGTTTGGATTTTAGGATTTATATGTTTCCAGAAGTGTTGAAATTCTTGAGAGTTGGTTATTATTCCTTTCACTTCATTCTTTTTGAACAAAACCAGAGATATGGAAGACTGGAGGCTGAATGGGAACTAGAGATTGTCTTTTAGAGAAAGAAGTGAAAGAAAAGTTTTGAAATTTAAGTACGACTCTTATTTCAAAACTTAATATACTTGATATGCTTTTAATTTCATTTAGTTCCCATGACTTTCATTTTGTGAATCACTTTATTGTATTCTGGAAGAAAAAAATAAAAACTGAGTCCAGTAAACCTATCTTGTTTCCGATGTTCTCTTTGATTATTTGTGATTTTCTTCTTTCCCTTTGCAAAGTAACTTGAAAACACTGAAATAAAAGCAACCAAAAAAGAAAACCTCAGTAATACTTTCTTCCCCTAATTTTCAGTTTTTCTAAATAGAGAAAATTGTGTTTGTACTTCCTATCAAAATGGTCATAATGAGCAGCCTATCTCTGTGGGTTTTTTTATTTGCGTGTTTGTTTTTTGCCAGTCCAGGGCTTGAACTCAGGACCTGGGCACTGTCCCTTAGCTTCTTTTGCTCAAAGCTAGCAGTCTGCCACTTGAGCTACAGCACTACTTCTGGCCTTTTCTGTTTATGTGGTACTGAGGAATTGAACCCAGGGCTTCATGCATGCTAGTCAACACTCTACCACTGAGCCACATTCCCAGCCCCCTGTGTCTGTGTTTTGAAAAAATATATTAAAATTGGGAATGGTGGTTCTTACTATAATCCCAGATACTCAGAAAGATCATGAGTTTAAGGCTAGCAACATACTTAGATGCTTTTTCAAAAACAAAATGTTTTTTTTAAAGTTTAAATATATTGCTATTGTGTGTTTACTTTCAGTAAACTGATCACTTTATAATCTCAACAGAAGGGGCTGGGAAGGTGGCTCAGTGGTAGAGTGCTTGCCTTGCATGCACAAGGCCCTGGGTTCGATTCCTCAGCACCATGTAAGCGGAAAAAGCCAGAAGTGGTGCTGTGGCTCAAGTGGTAGAGAGCTAGCCTTGAGCTGAAGGGCTGAGGGACAGTGCCCAGGCCCAGAGTTCAAGCCACACAACCGACAAAAAAAAAAAAAAATCTCAACAGAAGTATGAAAGTGTAAAGTAAGATCAAAATAAGCAGTCCTTTTGGGTTTGTTGGGTTTTGGTTTTACTAAAATATACGGAAGATATTACACTTGTGTCCATCTTCCAAAAGTGAAATTTCAGATAAGCAGGAACATCTGTTAGTTACAAAATGCAGATCCTTATCACATTGATAGTGCACTTATGATGATGCCAGGTGCACTGGAGACTTGGGGTTTAGAAGTGATATCACCAATACGAATTGGTTGCTTTTAGTAGTAATTTATATGAGGAATGTATTGAGGGCATTAGAGATAACTTTCTACCTTGTTTATGATCTCAAGCTGTTGCTGAATTATTTATTATCACATCGTGTTAGCTATTTTCCTGCTTGATTTTACACCACAATATTGCCATTACCTAAAGAAAAAAAATGTCTCATCAGCAGTCTTAATGACCTCCAGAAAGGGTAATTTGATTCTTAAGATAGGTTTTCAACTGCCCTGGTAGTTACAAGAAATTTTCTGAAAAAAAATTTTTTTTCTGTGTGACACTAAGGTTATTTTGTCTCCCAAGCTATCAGAGATAGCTATTCATTCTTTCTCTGTAAAAATGAATTCTTGGCAGCATTGCTTATGTTGTTCTTTGTGCATTAAAAGTTACATTTCTGGAGCTAGGCAACAATGGCCATGCCTCTAATCCTAGCTACTTCGAAGGGCTGAGATCTGAGGATCATGGTTCAGTGCCTGCTAGGGCAGGAAAATCTTTGAGACTATTAATCTCCAATTAACTACCAAAAAGCCAGAAATGGTACTGTGGCTTAAAGTGGTAGAGCACTAGCCTTGAGCACAAACATGCTGGAATAGCACCCAAGCTCTGGGGCATGACCAATTAGGAGGGGTCACCCACTGTCTATAGAGGAGACAATAGTAGCTGAGTGAAAATAGTTGAGCCAACATAGAGAACACGGATAAGAGAAAGTATAGGATTGGAAAATAAATATTAAGTTTAGTAAAAAAAAAAATAAAACCCCATAGACTTTGACAAATACATGTTTTTCCCAGATTTGTATGTATAATCTCATGTTTAAATATTGGCAACTCTTCTTTTTCTTCAACCTACTACAAATCTCACATCTGATTTCCCTGTACATATTAAATACTGGCTTTTATACTAAAATATAAGATTTGTTTAGGGGAATGTAAGGTAGGTATTATACATTTTTAAATTTTAATTGCCTGTTGTAGTCTATCTATGTTTCTGTAAACTGTTGCTAGTTAGCTTGGAGTTTTACATAATCTTTTTTTCCTCCAGGGCCTTGAACTTTCTAGGCAGGTACTTTATTGCTTGAGCCACTCCTCTGTCCCTTCAGTTGTGTGTGTGTGTGTGTTGTGTGTGTCTGATTTTTTGCTTAAGGGTAATGCTCTACCACTTCTTTCGGTGGTTAATTGGAGGTTAGAGTCTTCATGGATTTTCTTTTCTAGGCTAGCTTCTAAAGTGTGACCTACCAGTTCCTAGGCAAACTTATTTTTGATATATTAATGAATAGGACTATAATATATATGTATGTATATGGTGCCTTCTTTGTTGTTCCTGAAGAGAGCTGCTACAATAAGTAGTTTAATTTTCTTTTACTAGAAGAGACAGGTCTCCTTTGTTACCTATGCAATTCCTAAACTCCTGGATCTAAGCACACCTCCTGCCTAAACTCCCAAGTACCTAGGCTATAGGTTTGGGCTACCGAACCTGAGTAGTGAAATATTTAATCTACCTTATATCTTCTTTTCTTTGTTTTTTTTTCCTACTATTTATTGTGATTTTTGTTGTTGTTGTTGTTGTTGGTCATGGGACTTGAACTCAGGGCCTGGGCACTGGTCCTAAGCTTTTAAAGCTCAAGGTTAGCACTCTACCACTTTGAGCCACAGCTTCACTTCAGGTTATTAATTCACTTCAGGCTGTTAATTGGAGAGAAGCGTCGTCTCAAGGACTTTCCTGCCAGAGCTGGCTTTGAACCTTGATCCTCAGATCTCAGGTCTCAGCCTCCTGAGTAGATTAACATTACAGGTGTGAGCCACCAGCACCCAGCTTATTGTGATCTTTTTAAAAATGCAAAACCAAAATTTTGGGGAATTAATTACATTCACCTGTTATATTTTGCCACAATTTGTGGTTGGTTGGTTGATTACTTAACTATTTCAAGGGCTTTGCTACTGTCATCCCAGCCATTGCAGAAAACATAAAATAGGAAGACCAGTGTCCTATCATGGGACCCAAAATAACCAGTGCATAAAAGTCCTGAATTTAAAACCTAGTGCCACTAAAATGTGCTTTATTGTTGCATATTTGCACACATCTCTTTTTTTAAAAGGTCCCATAATGTCATTATTATAAATTTCTTTGTGAATTTATATATTGCAAATGTTCTGGAAAGGCTTTGGTATGCACCCAGAAAATCTTGATAAACAAGGAAACAAAAGTAAAAACCAAAAAAGCCTCATGTGTTTCTGCTGGTTATTTGCTACAGCAAAATTAAGTCTACCTTGGATGGACATAGTCTGTATTGCTGTAATTCCTGGATAACATCCTGTAGGCATCATCAGGAAAAAGAGGTTGATTTTCACAGGCTCACAGAGATAACACTAGATACTAGTAAAGATAGGACTCCTAATAAATGCACATAATAAAAATAGGCATGGATATAAGTCCCTTACCATCCTGGTTTATATCTCCAGGTGAATGACAAGGCAAAGACCCAGGAAATAGCAACTTTTATAGAGGTTTAAAGAGGTTTGGTGGACAATTTGGATATTTGTTATTATTTGTTAATATATACCCATTTAGGCTACAAAGAAAACTGAAAGCCTGACACTGATTAACTGGCAGTATGACCTTAAAACCTCTAGAATTTTAATTTTTTAAATTTTAATTTGTGCTTATGGATACCAATGATGTCTTTGCTTTTTAAAACAGGTAGTGTTAAGGAAGAGCACTTGTTTAGCAAGTAAAGGCCCTGAGTTTGGTCCTCAGCTCTGCAAAAATAAATAAATAAATAAAGCCAAAGAAAATGGCAATGCTGAATACAAAGGTGAATTTAGTGTCAGTGTTAACTAAAATTTACTATTGGGATTTTTCACCCTATAGCAGTTTTAAAAGAATAGATAGGTAGGTTGGTAGTATATACATGCTTTTTAGTTTCTATGAATGATCTTCTGTATTCTGATTGCCTACCTTTTTTGCTCTCCTTTAAAATAATGTTTTTTTTCTTTGATGCAGATTCTTTATTCTTATGTGTATTGACCAAAGTTCAATGAGAAGAACTGTGCCAAGCTAGGAGAATTTGCTTCAAGAAATGGAATTATCTCATAGCTTATTGCTGAATGAAGAAGCGTGCAATCAACTAGGTGATGTTCAGAAGGCTGAGTTTATTTTTGAGTGGTTGAGATACTTGGAGAAGCTCTTGCTAGCAACCAGCAGGGTGAGGAAAATTACAGGTTTTTTTTTTCATGATTATAATCTATTTTCAAAAATTTTCAAAGTATCAAATAATGTTCAATTCCTCTGGTTTACTTTTTTACTTGTATCCAGAATAACCTAATAAGTTAGCTTTAATAAGGTAAACTTTGTTGAGACTTAATAATGAAATGTGATAAGTTTATCTTATGTATCTTTTGTCCCTCCATAAACATGAAGCCTTTGTGTAGTTTCGTGCTAAATAATAGGTATGAAGAGCCCAGATACTGGTGGTTCACACCTGTAATCCTAGTTACTCAGGAGGCTGAGAACTGAGGATTGCAGTTCGAAGCCAGCTCAGGTAGGAAGGTCTGTAGGATTCTTTTCTCCACTTAACCACCAGAAAGCCAGAAATGGAGGTATGGCTCAAGTGCTAGCCTTGAGCACAAAAGTTCAGACAGTGCTCAGTCTGAGTTCAAGCCCCAGGACTGGCACCAAAAAAGAAAAAAAAAAGTTATGAAGAATGAAAAATGAAAAGTTTGAAGTCTCCTGATAAATATATTACCTCTAAAAATCTCATAAGATGGGTACAAAGATAGAAAACTGGTTAGTCATACATTGTTCACCTACATTCAGGAGTTAACAACATTTTGCCATGTTCAGTTCATTAATTTACTCAGCATTGTGAGGAAGCACTTCTAAATAATGTAGCATGAATTTAAAAATAGTGCATCCTTTCATATAATCACAATACCAGATGAAAAATGCAAACGTACTATAAAAATACTGCTCATGGTGAGGCCTGAATTTAATATAATACTCAGCAATACAAAAAAAAAATACCATTTGTGGTAGGTTTAGAACTTAACAAAAGACAAAGTGTTATAAAAGAGGAAAACAAACAAACTCAACACCCCAAAATGTGTTCTTGTTCTGAGACTAATGGACACTATCTGGCTGTGGGTCCCCATGATAGAGTGTTTGACAAGTTTACTGATCTTTAGAAGAAAAAAGTAAAAGCAACTTGTAGGTTTAAAAATTAAATTTAACAAAAGAAAAATAATACTCTTAACAAATAATGAATTGGGGAATTTAGTTGTTAGTGAGTACCTGGATATCATTAGCTTTATAATGATATTCTGTACCTCTTTGAAGAGAACACAAAAGTAAAATGATACAACATTATTAGCATTTACATATATAATCTTAGAAAAAATTATGCTAAACTTAGGAGAACTCTGATCTTAAATTACAATATCAGCTCTGTAATGGGTTATAGAATACTATTTTATTTATGTAGATATATATATCGACAAAGGCCTAATAACTAAGAAGCTCTAGTTAAAAATACAAAGTTGTGTTTTGGGGGATTGTGTGTGTGTGTGTGCGCGTGTGCGCGTGCGCGCGTGCATGTGCTGATTCTAAGGCTTGAATTCAGAGCCTGGGCACTGTCCCTGAGCTTTTGTATTCAAGACTAGCACTCTACCACTTAAGCTGCAACTCTACTTTTGGCTTATCTTTTTTTTTTTTGGTAGTTAATTGGAGATAAGACTCTCACAGACTTTCCTGCTCAGGCTGGCTTCAGACCACGATCCTCAGATCTTAGCTTTCTGAGTAGCTAAGATTACAGGCATGAGCCATTGGTGCCCAGCTTGTTTTCTGTTTTTTAAATACAGATGTAGAAGAAATACAGCTTTTGTCTTTGTTAACAGAGATTGGCATGGTTGGATTCAGAGGTTTTTGAAGATATGAATCAGCAAAACAACAAATTACCTCTTCATGTAACAGTTTGGCCATGTTATGAACTTTTTTTTTTGGGGGGGGGTCTAGTCGTGGGGCCTGAACTCTGGGCCTGGGCGCTGTCCCTCTAGCACGCTACCACTTGAGCCATAGCACTACTTCCGGCTTTTTTTTTCTGCTTATGTGGTGCTGAGGAATTGAACCCAGGGCCTCATGCATCCAAGGCAAGCACTCTACCATGGAGCCACCTTCCCAGCCCATGTTATGAACTTTTTTTTTTTTCCCCACCTGTAGGGCACTTGCTCCCAGAGAAGGCACAAATGTTGTGCCCCTTCATCACAATGGCCCCAGATTCCTGTTGGGTGTGTTGTAAACAGAGGAGCCATACTCTGGGCTCCCTGCTCGGAGCACACCCTAGCATGTTATGAACTTTTTATAATTTCACTTAAAATAATTTTGTAGCTGTGTGCTAATGGCTTATATATGTAATCTTAGCTATTCAGAAATCTAAGAACTAAAGGATCACAGTTTAAAGCCAGCTGGGCATAAAAAGTCTATCAGACTCCAATTCCAATTAACTAGCAAAAGCTAGATTGGAGGTATGGCTAGCATGGTAGAATATCAACTCTGAGCAAGAAACTCTTTGAGGCCCTGAATTCAAGCCCCACTACTGGCACAAAAATAATACTAATAATTTTTATTTATTTTTCATTATTTGGAGAATAAATTATTAGTTTCTATAATCAAACTCACATTATTAATACCTTTCATATTTAATAAGTGAGTTTACCATCGTATAAATGGAAAAAAATTAATGTTTCTAGACCAATATGGCTATTAATTTCTGTACAATGCCAACTCAACATGGTAAACTGGGATACTTTTTCCAACGTTTCCAAAAATTCAAATAATATATATGTATGTGTATATATGTATACATATATGTATATATATATCCATCCGTACACGCATATATATGAAGACCAGTAATAGCTATATATTATGCATCAATAGCAGCAACAGGTTTTACAGTTATATGAACAAATTAAACATCCAGCACACTCTTATTAATAAAAAGAAAAAAAGATTAAAAGACCCCAGAAAAATGCCAAGTTCTGTTACTGTTGTACCTGGCACCTTTTTTTTATTAGCTTCTTAATCACATCTCACTTGAGTAACATTAAAAACAGCTCTGTTAAAGTACAGTCACTACTATATATAAAACAGGTACAAGGTATTTTACATTCATAGAGGTATGATACAGTACTATCCTACTTCTGTAATACTAGAGGATACAATTAAAAAGGCATTAATGAAACTTGATTTTACTTTTCCAGCAGAAGGCCCAAAGGATGGTATGATGTGGACTTATTAGACACTATGTTGGAAATGAACTATACAACTTGGGGGAAGGGAGGTCAGGCAGGAAAAAACTGGGAGAAATTGAAGGTGGGGGTAATACTGTTAAAAAAGAAATATGTAATTACCTGACTTACGTAACTAACTCCTCTGTATTTCACTATTACCAAAAAGAAAAAAAAAGAAAAAAATCAATGACAAAAATAACAAAAAAATAAAGCAAAAGAAAAAAAGAAATGCATTTTCTTAGATGGGATTTCCTTCCATTAGTGGCACAGTTCTAAGTACTCACTGTCTTCATAAACATCAGCTACAAACCATTTGAAAATGGGAGAGGGGAACAGGAAGGGAAAAAAACCCAAAACAAAATCCATACCCTATACCCCACAATCACTAGATTCGTACAAACATGACTGAAGGAAGGCAAGCAAGACTCAACCTAACAATATTTTACCATAAATGTCATGTTTGAATTGTGAGAGCTCCATAAATAATTTTTTATTTTTCTATATAAAAGTTATTCTGGAGAATTATATACAATTGTTCTGAGTTTGGATTTTTTGTTATCTTTCTTTCTAGAATGATGTAAGGGAGAAACAGAAGACTCTTGTTGAACAGCTCCTATCTTTGTTGAACAGCTCCCCAGGACCTCCTACTCGTAAACTCCTTGCTAAGAATCTAGCCATAATTTATAGTATTGGAGACACATTCTCTGTTTATGAGACAATCGATAAATGTAATGATCTTATTCGTAGCAAAGATGATTCTCCAAGTTACCTTCCCACCAAACTGTAAGTTAAACTTCAAAACTTAACAAAAACCAAAAAATTGCTTCCTTCTTGTATGACTTTTTATAATGTACCCAACCTACTTAATTATTTTGAAGCTTAATTCAAATACAGTTCTAACATATTCTTTAAAAGATAATCTAACATTTCTTGTTTGAGAATGTCCTTTTAAAAATACTTTGGGGGGGGCCAGCAAGGTGAGTCAATGGTAGAACACTTGTCTTGCATTCATGAGGCCCTGGGTTCGATTCCTTAGCACCACATTATGCAGAAAAAGTGGCTCTGTGGCTCAAGTGGGAGAGCGCTAGCCTTGAGTTGAAGAGCTGAGGGACAGTGCCTAGGTCCAGAGTTCAGGCCCCACGACCGACCCCCCAAAAACTATTTTGGGTGCTGAGTATGTAGCTTAATGATTGACTGCTTATCTAACGTATACAAGGCCTGGGTCTGATTCCCAGTGCTTCAAAAATTAAAATTAAAGAATGTGTGATTGGTAATATTGGCAGAAAAAAGAAATGTACTCATTACCTGACATGAAACAGTAACTTCTTTGTATATCATTTTTATAACAACAATAAAAAAGAATAACAAAAAGAATTCATGAATACATTAAAATAAGTGGAGACATTTAAAGTCTGAATTTGAGATTGAAAACATCCTAAAACTTTAGCAGTTGAGTATTTAATAGTATTTCAAATTATTCAGGTTTTGGATGTACTTAAGTAGTAAAAATTGATGATAAACAGAAAAAAGCTTCCAAGGTCCCAAGGATAGCTTAGTTTCTTTCTCCATAGGATTCAGTTCCTTTCAGCCTGCTATTTTACAAAGGGCAGTGAGCCAGGTGTGATTTCACAGCAGTAATTCTATGGAATTTTTATTGGTCTGATTATTACCTTAGAACAGAATATATTCTCCATAAAGTATTCAAAGTTCAGTTTCAGTGAGAATTTTTGGAGAGTATTTGAGCTCATCTTTGACTATCTAATAAATGAAGTTGTATTGAAATATTTTTCAGAATTGATTTTGCAACATTTGGTAGGGTAGAATATTTGGGCTGAGATTTAGATTCATTGAACACGGATATAGCCATTTAAAATTCTTGTTATTAAAAATATAATTATTTTATATTCCCCTCAATATCATGCCTTAGAATGTAGCATTAGATTCTGGGAAATTGTACCTTTTCAAGGTAAAATTATATAGTTAACTGTGTCAACAAATAATTCTAAAACAACTGGATATCCACATACAGTAGGATAAGATACACTCTCAAATCACACTATACACTGAAAATTAACCCAAAAAGGATCACAGATCTAATTTAACAGCTAAAATTAAAACTTAGAACAATAAGATGCCAAGCTTTTGTCATCTTGGAATAAGCAATGATTTCTTAAGGCTGGACATGGATCACACCTGTCTTCTCAACTATTGGTGAGATTTAGGGAGGATTGAGATTCAAGGCAAAAAAGTAAGACCCCATTTCAGCCAATATGCTAGGTATGATGGTTCATGCCTGTAATCCCAGGCATAGTTAGGAGGATCATCATCCATGGATAACTCCAAGCAAAATCTTGAGACCCTATCTAAAAAAGAACTAAAGCAAAAATGGATAGAGTTGTTGAGTGCCTGCCTAGCAAGCAGATAGCTCTAGGACTGCCAAGAAAAAAAAAATTAATAGTGATTTTTTTCATATTCATGTTTTTTTTTCTTCAACCATGACTTATTTCTGATTTAAATGTTGTTTCAGTGCTGCTGTTGTGTGTTTGGGTTCCTTGTACAAGAAGTTGGGTAGAATACTAGGTAACACCTTTGCTGATACAGTGGGGAATATTCTTAAGGCTATGAAGAGTGCAGAGGTAAGTAATAAAGTTCAACCAAAGAACAGCATTGCATTTATGGGTTTATACTTTTTTGAGCTCGTAACAGAGCTTTATATATTACAAGCATATGTAGTTGTCTATATAAATATATCTACAAATATTTCTAAGTGATGCACAAGATGTACACTATACATTGAATCTTTTTTAGAAATAGAATAATACAGCCAGGAGGCTGAGATCTGAGGATTGCAGTTCAAAGCCAAAAGGAAAGGCCGTGAGACTCTTATCTCCAGTAAATCACTCAGAAAACCAAAAGTGGCACTGTGGCTCAAGTGGTGGAGCACTAGCCTTGAGCTGAAGAGCTAAGGGACAGTGCCCAGGCTGAGAGTTCAAGACTCATGACCCCGAGTTCAACCCCCACCAGTATAACCAGAAAAAAAGAAAAGAAGGGAATTCTGAGGGAACCTGATATTTTTTGGCATTAATTTTCTGAAAGCTCCAAGAAGATAATTCAGGAAAGAATTTAATCATAGAATCTGATTTTATGAAAAGCTGTATGTCTGAAAGAAGCTTATTTACTAGGATATAGCCATTGTGAACTTTTATTTCCTTCTTATCTCCTTCAGTTAACCTATACTACATTTTACATGGTTAATAGAGGATTACTCTGTAGGAATCAGAAATGTTATGGTAATTATTTTATTACATCCTTTATTTTGTTGGTAGCCCAGGCTTGTCTTGAACTATAATCCTCCTGCTTCAACCCCTTGAAGTGCTAGGAATATAGGTATATTTCATCATGCCCAGGGTAGTGTCCTTATTTTTTACTTTTATAATTTAGTTAGTAAGGTATCGCATCATCTCAGATATTACAGATTATTCCTGCTGTTCACCCATATCCTGACTAGTCAGTGACACAGCACACTTGAAACTGAGATAAAATAAATTTCCTATTAGAACCCATTCTATTAATCTGCCTGTAATTTTGTGTTATTTTAAACAAAGATAGATTAATAGCATTTCTATGCAAATAATGGTTGATGGTAATCTCTGTCTCCTTCCAACTTTACCTTAGCACCAATTCCAGAGGTAAAATCATCTAGAGCCCTAGGAGCATCTGTGATAAAACAGCTTCTGTTTTTTGTTTTTGTTTTTTTGGGTCCGGTCATGGGGCCTGAACTCTGGGCCTGGGCGCTGTCCCTCAGCTCTTCAGCTCAAGGCTAGCAACACTCTATCACTTGAGCCACAGCACCACTTCTGGCTTTTTTCTTTTTTGCTTATGTGGTGCTGAGGAATCCAACTCAGGGCCTCATGCATGCAAGGCAAGTTTTCTACCACTGAGCCACCTTCCCAGCCCCTGTTTTTTTTTTTTTTATTGTGTACTATATGCCTGATAATGAGTGTTTACCTAAGGTTTATCTTGCCCTCATTTTGTAGATGGGGAAACAGCAAGAACAATTACTGAGAGTTAGAAATAAAATTCTAGATCAGATTATATTTGGAACTGGAATATGGCTCAAGTGATCCTGAGACCCTATGCCTCTCAGTTCAAACCCCAGTACTGCCAATTTTGGGGGGTTGGTGTGTGGTGGTGGTGGTAGTGCTATCTAACCCCCTACTCTGTTCATGTGAAGCAAACACTATGCCACTAAGCAATATTCATGGCCCAGGTCTTTTTTGTTTTTTGCCAGTTTGGAGCTTGAACTCAGAGCCTGGGCACTGTCCCTGAGCTTTTGTGCTCAAAGCTAGCACCATCACTTTGAATCACAGCTTCATTTCTGGCTTTTTAGTGACAGTTGGAGATAAGAGTCTCATATACTTTCTTGCCTGGGCTGGCTTTGAACAACTATCCCCATATCTCAGCCTCCTGAGTAGCTAAGATTACAGGCATGAGCTACCAGCATCTGGCTGGATCAGGTCTTTTAACTCTAACTTCTAAGTTAAAAGATTAACAGCTGGGAAATCTGTTGAGCATTTTCTGTATTTTCAGCACTCTTCTAAACATACTTACATGTATTAACTCATGTAGACTCTAAGGTAGATGCTATTATCTGAACTTTACAGGGAAAGAAAGAGAATTTCCCAAGATTCTGATATAACCTTGTACTCTTATTATGTTGCTTCAGTCTTATTATGTTGTAACAGTCTTTATTGAATGCTTAATAACACAAGGTTTATGCTTCTTATAGTTTTGTTAATCTTCACATTAACCCAGTGAATTATATTGAAGAATATTATGTATAAATAATACTTGTCAAGTAATGTTACTTGATACTAGCATGGGTTAGTGTACAAAAACGTCTATATTTTTCAGATGAGAGATTCTATCAGTGCTTAATGCTTTCTTCACAGTGATTTTTTTTTTTGCCAATTTTTGAATTTTTTCCTCCTAGTCTCAAGGTCGATATGAAATTATGCTGAGTCTGCAAAATATCTTGAATGGGCTAGGAGCTGCTGCTACACCTTGCCATAGAGATGTTTACAAGGCTGCTAGATCCTGCCTCACAGATAGATCCATGGCAGTTCGATGTGCTGCTGCAAAGGTAAAAATTTATATAAAGGAGGGGCTGGGAAGGTGGCTCAGTGGTGGAGCGCTTGCCTTGCATGCTCGAGGCCCTGGGTTCGATTCCTCAGCACCACATAAGCAAAAAGAAAAAAGCCGGAAGTGGTGCTGTAGCTGAAGTGGTAGAGCGCTAGCCTTGAGCTGAAGAGCTGAGGGACAGCGCCCAGGCCCAGAGTTCAGGCCCCACGACCGGACCCCCCCAAAAAAAAATTTATATAAAGGAAATTACTTGAGATTTAACAGAAAGCATTAGTAACAGCTATGTCAGCTGCAACCTTGGTAATCACTTAGAACTGTCTTAGTTTAACATATTAGGAAACTCAGGCCCAGAAGATTATGTGAATTTCCTAAGGTTCAAGTAATTAATAACACATGGTCAAAGAGTATGAAGTTTGTTTCCTTGCATTACACTTTACATTGCTTCCCTTGTGGTAGTATGTAAACCGAAATATATAGGTAAAGTTCATGTTGTTTTGGATTTGGATTTTATTAGTTTTTTGTTTTTTTTTTTGTCGGTTGTGGGGCCTGAACTCTGGGCCTGGGCGCTGTCCCTGAGCTCTTCAGCTCAAGGTGAGTGCTCTATCACTTGAGCCACAGAGCCACTTCCAGTTTTCTGGTGGTTAATTGGAGATAAGAGTCTCACAGACTTCCCTGCTGGGGCTGGCTTTGAACCATGATCCTCATATCTCAGCCTCCTGAGTAGCTAGGATTACATGCGTGAGCCACCGGTGCCAGGCTTATTACTGTTTTTAATCATGCCTTTTTAATATGATTGGTTAAGAAGTACAGTAAAATTATTTTATTTAAATGTTGGAATTATCCTCAAAGTTGCTTATGGTTTGAAAGACAGTTTTCCTGAATTAAAAGTGAGTTCTCCTTTTACCTTTGTAGCCTTATTAGTATAATGCTTATGACTGTTTATAATGTTTTCCTATAATCATTATATAAATAATATTATTCTAGTTGGAACCTATAGTTTTTATAATGCATGTGTGCCTGAGCCTAACACATATTTTGTTTTCCTTTATTTATTTGTCCAAATGAGTAGTGTCTTCTTGAACTTCAGAATGAGGCCATCTTCATGTGGAGCACAGACCTGGACAGTGTGACTACACTATGTTTTAAGTCTTTTGAAGGTTCTAATTACGATGTACGGATTGCAGTTTCAAAACTGTTGGGCACAATATTAGCTAAAGCTATCATTTCTAAACCTTCAACCTCAGGTAATGCTATGTAATTCTTTTCAAAATAACTTTTTTCAGTTTTTCCCATGTTGATTCCAACAAATATATCAGCATTACAGATACCTATTAACTTTTGAAAACAAACAGTACAAATGAACTTTAGTTCATAGGAATTGCTGAAGGTACTATTATTTTTATTCTCAGATAAAAAATTGAGGAGTTGGTTTGATTTTGTGATATCCATCTTGCTCTGTAGCCCTATAGCCCAGCCTATAGCCCAAGCTGACTTTAAATTTATAATCTTCTTGCCTCTACCTCCCAAGTATTGGGATTATAGGCATGTGCCACTATATTTGCTAAGAAGTTTTGAAGTGTTATCCTTCATTCATTATTTTTATTTATTTTTTACAGAAGTATCTATATGATGACATTTGTTTTGCTGTTTTCTAGATTGATACATGAAACAAATCATGTGGGTAGATAGATACTTAGCATTACTCTATTTGGACAGTTTTTCTTTGTTTTATCTTTTCACTTTTTTAAATTCCCTGTTTATATACTTCCAAGCAGTAAGCAAGGATAGGATATATTTTAAAACAGAGGCATTTACCTTCATTTAATTTAGAGTGTATATAAAAACTATAAATGATTTGTTGAACTGAAAAAATACACCTATGAGTAACTAAAAGCTATGTCATTTTATCTCAATAATTTAACAAGTTCACAAGATGAAAATGTAACAATTCTGTAGACCCTGACACCTCAAATAGCCACAGACTAGAAGCTCAAGCATCGCTTAGGAAATTTTAAGAAATATAGAAACCCAGGTCCCACCTAACTTAATAATTCAAAATTCTCATTTTTATAGAATCCCTGTATCATTGCTATACACTTTAAATTTTGATCTGCACTGTCATCTGTTTTTATTTCCTTTTTTTTTATTGTAAAGATACCATACAGAGGGGTTATACAATTACATGGACAACGTAATGAGTACATTTCTTATCAAGCATTGTTGCCGCCTCCTTTGTTTCCCCTTCCCATCCCTTGGGGGGTTTTTTGTTTGTTTTTTGGGTTTTTTTTTTTTTTTTTTTTTTTTTTTTTATTGTGTACTATATGCCTGATAATGAGTGTTTACCTAAGGTTTATCTTGCCCTCATTTTGTAGATGGGGAAACAGCAAGAACAATTACTGAGAGTTAGAAATAAAATTCTAGATCAGATTATATTTGGAACTGGAATATGGCTCAAGTGATCCTGAGACCCTATGCCTCTCAGTTCAAACCCCAGTACTGCCAATTTTGGGGGGTTGGTGTGTGGTGGTGGTGGTAGTGCTATCTAACCCCCTACTCTGTTCATGTGAAGCAAACACTATGCCACTAAGCAATATTCATGGCCCAGGTCTTTTTTGTTTTTTGCCAGTTTGGAGCTTGAACTCAGAGCCTGGGCACTGTCCCTGAGCTTTTGTGCTCAAAGCTAGCACCATCACTTTGAATCACAGCTTCATTTCTGGCTTTTTAGTGACAGTTGGAGATAAGAGTCTCATATACTTTCTTGCCTGGGCTGGCTTTGAACAACTATCCCCATATCTCAGCCTCCTGAGTAGCTAAGATTACAGGCATGAGCTACCAGCATCTGGCTGGATCAGGTCTTTTAACTCTAACTTCTAAGTTAAAAGATTAACAGCTGGGAAATCTGTTGAGCATTTTCTGTATTTTCAGCACTCTTCTAAACATACTTACATGTATTAACTCATGTAGACTCTAAGGTAGATGCTATTATCTGAACTTTACAGGGAAAGAAAGAGAATTTCCCAAGATTCTGATATAACCTTGTACTCTTATTATGTTGCTTCAGTCTTATTATGTTGTAACAGTCTTTATTGAATGCTTAATAACACAAGGTTTATGCTTCTTATAGTTTTGTTAATCTTCACATTAACCCAGTGAATTATATTGAAGAATATTATGTATAAATAATACTTGTCAAGTAATGTTACTTGATACTAGCATGGGTTAGTGTACAAAAACGTCTATATTTTTCAGATGAGAGATTCTATCAGTGCTTAATGCTTTCTTCACAGTGATTTTTTTTTTTGCCAATTTTTGAATTTTTTCCTCCTAGTCTCAAGGTCGATATGAAATTATGCTGAGTCTGCAAAATATCTTGAATGGGCTAGGAGCTGCTGCTACACCTTGCCATAGAGATGTTTACAAGGCTGCTAGATCCTGCCTCACAGATAGATCCATGGCAGTTCGATGTGCTGCTGCAAAGGTAAAAATTTATATAAAGGAGGGGCTGGGAAGGTGGCTCAGTGGTGGAGCGCTTGCCTTGCATGCTCGAGGCCCTGGGTTCGATTCCTCAGCACCACATAAGCAAAAAGAAAAAAGCCGGAAGTGGTGCTGTGGCTCAAGTGGTA